CGAGTACTAGCAGTCATGATCTTTATCTGCTCTTATTATAAAATCTCATGATTATGAGGCCCTCTCGTTTGTCCAGCTCCTCCTCCATCTGTGTGTTGCTGTGGGGTTTTCTATTTTGCTTTCCCGACTGCATTGCGTACGTCGCAAATGTATATGTGGCAGATGCTTCACGAAGCTGTCGGAATCAGCAGAGAAAATACGAGAGCAACCATACAGGGCCTGGGAGCAAGGTCGAGTTAGTCCTTGAGGGTCTCTTCTCAGACTAGCCTCACCTGGTCCTGGTCCACGTTGATCGTTGGAATCTCCTCAATGATTGAAACACTTTAAGGGACTCCTAGGGTCCTCATCGCATTTATAGAGTAGTGAATATAGGCAACTCGGTGTTGAAGACACCTGGAGCTGAAGGCTTGAGTAAATAGTTGGCAGTATTCAGAAGTGGTTCAACGGAAACACCGCATAAAGCTTAACAATAGTTTATTTACTAACTTAACCACTAATACAAAGGGTGCTTGATTTACTTTAGATTGGCGTCAGAAAGGCTATGGTTGCATTAGCAAGACTCTTGACGTTTGGCTAATCGATTTGGATCCACTCATGGCGAAACACCTAACTTAACACAGTTGACAGCCAATCATTAACACGGCAAACCTTACTGCCGGTATGCAAAGGGATTGCAAGAGTTCCAACCGGATACTCAGGTAATGATGTGCAATAACTCAACAATGGCACTGTCAATGGGACAGGCAATAACATGCACAATAATAATATCACACAATACTAAATGTGTGGTGTATGTGAAGCTCACTTTCACAGACGAGTGTAATGTCGTGATACCACACAGATAAACACGCATACAACATCGGGGCGTCTTCACCTATACCTGTGTCAGGTATGAGAAGGTGAGAACTGTGGTTGATACCTCAGATCAACACACACACAATAAAACAATGACAAGATCTTGTACTTACAGGTAGGCTACCTCTCTTAGTCATTCACTCACTCGGGCACATTTATGCAAGAACTCGTAGGTGGCCTGATAGCTGGTTTCCTCGTTATGACGTGAGACCATTGACGACAGGCTTTCCCACAAAAGATGGCACTGGCGGTGAGTAAGGTGGTGACGTCATGTAGTGTGAGGCACGGCAGCTGGCGGCTGGTGGCTCGAGGTACCGAGGTACTAGCTACACACTCTGGACAGTGGCGGCTGCAGGTTATATGGTTCCATGCAGCTACACTGGTAAAAGTCACACACAGATTACTTAGGTGGTGGCACTGCCTTAGTTCACTCTAGGTCACTCACAGATGATCTGTGTCACCAGGGGTTACCCGATACCAGTCTTTCGCTCTGGTGATTTATCACTAGGCCTCTGAACAATATAGTCACGATCGCGATTCCGGGTGAGCGTTGGTATATTAAAAAGACGCTGAGTTTAACTTGACGGTGAGGAATAGACAGTGTTCTTCTGTCTATTGGCCGATAGACAGAACAGGACACGTCCTCTATGCACGGGCTCTCTCGCGTGACTGCTCTTGCCAGCGGCTGTAGGGCATCTCGTGGGACACACGCAAGGGATTACAATTTGACCAATGACATTACAGCAAAAGAGCGGGAACCAATCATATTGATCATTCCCTGATCAGTAGCAGAGGTGACGTCATGAACACGTCACCGTTGTTATTCTCCATCGCACCGGTTGAGGCTGACCCCAGAGGTCAGATCTGTCGCCTGATCTGGCGTCCCCTCTCCCTCTCATGCCTGGCACCTCCTGTGTACTCTCTGACCCTGTAGCAAGTATGCTTACTTCCCTGTATCTACTTCCTGCCTGGACATACGGCGGCCTCCATATTATAAACGTATTCCTGGTTAAGTGGGTATCCTGGAGATACCCAACATGGCAGTTTACTATTCAGGAATAACAGAGATAGGGCTTGTGCACGAAATCGGTGCACTGTGCACTGCAATGAGCCATTCAAGTCGGCTGTGGGATAATCTTGAGACCATATTCTCAGTTGTGTACCGGTGGACTATGGGCATTTATGATTATCAGTTTATCATCACCACAAATCTCCAGTGCTGTTATGTTAACTTCTTGTGGATTGGGAAACATTATTTCATTAACCTTTCAGTGTTCTTTCACCTGCACGGCATCACCTCCACCTTTCTTAATTTTTCTGTCCTGTCTCCAAACTGAGTAACCCCTTGGGAATACGATTTCGTTTAAAAAATCACCTTAGAGTTTCGTCTTCATTAGTGCAACAATGTCTGGCATCGTATTATATCATTTAGCTCCAGTATTTTATCTCGCTCTATCTATGTTAGTACTGTATATACAATTTTCACGAACATGTTCCCTCTCCACTTGTTCTTTACTTCCTCTTTTTTTAGTGATTTTGTTTGCCATTTTTGTACCATTTCACAGGCTTTCCTACTCCTATCACCATTATAGGAAAAAAGAATTGATTTCTTCTTTGTTCCTGCTCTCATTAAGATGTTTTGTTTCAACGAGGTTCAGTTTTAGCATCGAGATCTTTCAAAGGCAGACAGTCTCAATTACCATACTTTTTCCTTCCTCATCACTTATAATTTCCTAATAATCCTGAATACTTCATCAGTTTAACTCTGTTTAGGGTGATCCTCAAGGGCCAATCTTTTATTTTTTCATACCTTCCAATTCTCCTGTAGTCAAAAACATTATCTTTGGTTGTAAGACCTTCCACTAGCCCAACAACTTTATCTACTATCATTTCTTCTGTGGCTCTCTCTGACCTAGATGTCATCTCCTTTTCTTTACAACCGAAAATTATGAAGGATTTACCTTGTTCAACTGTGTTTTGTACCAGTTTTGGCTTTGATGCCAGTTCCTTTCTGACTTCCCAGTCTAATGCCTGTGCTTTTCTGACTGCTGAAGTTTCTGGCTTCCTTTACTGTTGCTTCTATTATTTATTATTGGTGATGTACCAAAGTTTGGAGGATTACAGGTGGGTACCTCAGGGAGATGCAGGAACGCACTAGACACAGGCAGTTTCCTAACACCATTTTCTCGGGCACCAGTGACCATACAGGTAGTGTACTGGAGGCACCTGCTGCCTCCAGTGAGTTTAGGGTCTTTTACTCCCGGAATTGTGACATTTCTATCTGACCACTATTTGACCTAGCCTCCTTTGCAGTTGGCTATTTATTGGTGTGTGCACTTTATTTCAAGCAGATGCAGACACTGGCTGCCTCTGGCAAATTTGATTTTGACCTTGTGCTTCATCCTCTTGTCATCCATCCTCTGAGCCTGCTTCACTTCTTAGGGTTCTGCAATGACTGTTTAGAGGTGAGCAGGCGGCTTTGGCTCGGGAGCTGAAGTTAGTGCAATGTCTGGCTCTTTTGTGGCAATCATAGGGGGGTACTCGGTGCCTGATCCTTCCTCTATGTTCCTTTATTTGTGTTAGAAGATACATTCACCCATGGTCTGCAGGGTTGGATTTGGGTTATGCTCCTCATCCTTCTATGACCTTTTCATTTTTTTTTTTTTTGGGGGGGGGTGGGGTCCTGAAGGTGGGGAGGGGCCTTGGTGATCACTTTTCCCATCCTAAAGTGTAGCTTCAGAGGTGGAGGGCTTCTAGGTTGGTGATTTACTTTATCCCCCCAATCTCACTTTGAGCTTCAAATCTCCACACTCCCATTTACTCTGCATCATCTGTGACATGTTGGACTGGGATGCGATTCAACTTGCCACTTGTGGATTTTCATCTCGACTCAGTATCAGTAATGTACAAAGAGTCTACCAAGCCTAGACATTTTAGATTTGTTTGCGACTAGCATTCCTTGTCAAAGATGCCAATTGACAACTGTGCTCATAGTTTGCAGATGGAGGACAATCATGCTTGGTTCATTTCCCTGGACTTGCAGGATGCCTATTGGCATGCCTGAGTCCATCCGCAGTACAGAAATTGACTGGGTTTCCCAAGTTGAACATGCCAATTACCACCTTGGGCTCTTGACTTTAGTGTTCAACTTCACTTCAAAGACCTTCACCAGACTACTTGTGTGGTTCTTCACAAGCAGGTCACTGTTCTTCTTTTGGCAGATCACTGTTCTGCCCCCTCTTCCATGACTGGCTTCTTTAGGCCATTTTTTTTTCTGCAAGCTCTTTATCTATTTCTCAATGTTTTGGCACATTGTATACTCCTTATAAAGTTTCTAGTCTCGGTGCCAGCAGTTGATCTTGTGGGAGGGACTGGTATTGGATCCCAAGACAACATCCTCTCTCTTCTAGAGTTTGCTCGTAGCTGACAGTTGATAGATTTGCGCTCCACTAGCATCAACGTTCCAGGCAAGAACACTAGCAGCTGCTGGTTAATCTCAAGTTCACCTGTGTGTGGTGATTTAACCACTGGGCTGGGTTTGGTTGAAACCCTTGACTGCTTTTGGGTTCTAGTTCTTTGTCCCTGTTATGTCGTGATTCCCAAGTAAGGCTCGTGGTGTAGACTTCTCCTCATTCAATAATTAGCACTCCTGGCCTTGAGTAAATCACAGCTTTAATAGTCTAGGGATTGAGTGAAAGTGTAAAAAGCATTTTCACTCAGAAAATGAATTCCTCATAACTCCTTTCCTTCCTCGTGAGTTACTGCAGCACACTCATAATCTTTTCTAATTCCGTTTTCTCCTATTGGTAACGGCTCACTTCCTCCTCCCTCTTCCTCACCCATCATTAACTTATTCTTTCCTCTCCACCAGTAATAACTTCTCCCTCTTGGCTTTATAAATACCTATTCTTACTCCCTCTTGTCCTCCAACAACTACCAATTTCTCTTACTCCCTCATTTTTTCCTTAATAAACTCTTTCCCCCTGCATTCATTCATCCATCCTTCCTCCTCCCTTCAACAGCAACTTGAATATTAAACCTAATTAATCCATGTATGAACAATTACCATTCCCCCTCTCTGTATTTTTATGGCAGGACTTTATACTTATTTGGTGTTTCATCACTATATATTATATGCGTTTCAGGTGGTGGGAATCCATACCACAGCATGGACAAGACTTCAGTATTACAAGAGGCTCGGGTTTTCAACGAGACTCCAGTTAATGTGAAGCGCAGCACCCATGTCCTCACCAAGATTCTCTATCTCCTCAACCAAGGAGAGAGCCTTGCCACCAAAGAAGCTACCGATGCCTTCTTTGCAATGACCAAGTTGTTCCAGAGCAATGACTTGGTTCTTCGACGGCTTGTATATCTAGGGATTAAGGTTGGGCACCGTCTAGTAATTGAAGTGTAGTTGTACTGTATTGTTGGATAGTGGTGTACCATGGCTTGATATGCCAATGTAACATTGTATTACAGCTAGTTTACATTGCTTTAATTCTTTACGTACACATGTCGGTTTCATTCTGATCATTATAATTCCAGGAACTGTGCACTGTAGCAGAAGACACAATCATTGTAACATCTTCCCTAACGAAAGATATGACTGGGCGAGAGGACCAGTACAGGGCCCCAGCAATTAGAGCACTGTGCAGGATCACAGATGTACGTATAATTTAATCACTAATAAAAATTGGGTGGTTTCATTCTTAATTTCTAGAGTTTTTACTGTGGTTTTACTTTATTCTTTGGGAGATACCACCTAATAACATTGTTCCACTTAATTTTTTTTTATTTACTTTTTTTTTTTAATTGAGAGAATGCTGTCATGTATTGGCACAAAACTTTATGGATTTACGTGCTGTGTGGTGATGCAAGATAGATCCCTTATTGTTACTTGGTATTGTAACTCCTGATAGCAAAGTTTAAAATCCTTTAAAATGAATTACTTGAATGTGAGCAATATGTCCAACAAATAACAATGATTGATCCCAACTGTTTACACACATTCTCCAATATCAGTGGGTAGTTCTTGTACTCCTGGCCCAACGACTTGCACAGGCTGGTAGGGCGACGGTCTCACTTCATGCAGGTCGACGTTCAATCCCTGTATGTCCAAGTAGTTGGGCACCATTCCTTTTCCCCGTCCCATCCCAAATCTTTATCCTGATCCCTTCCCAGTGCAATATAGTCGTAATGCCTTGGTGCTTTTCCCTGATAGTTCCTGCCTTCCTTCTTGTACTCTTGGTTGCAAAAAGTGTAATTGGATCATACAGATAATCCAATCGTGTCATTTTTTTGCTCAGCAGGAACTAGGTTCTGGAAGGGTTCAATTTGACAAAGGGTTGGGTGAGGGGACAGCTTGAAAGATGCAATGATGTATGAAAGAAAGGGTTGGGTGAGTGGGTTAAATAATTGTATGCAAATGGCATTAGGGGAGGCACATACCTGGGTTAAGCTTATTTCTGTTAGGTAAGGATATGTTTGTTGTATGTTGGACAGTACAGAGACTTTCCAGTTAATGGGGGATGTACATTACATCCATTGATCAAACATCCATCCGGTTAATTAATAGGGATAGAGGGCCAAATATATCTGGATAATCGGAGAATCCAGAAAAAGCAGGAATTTAGATAATTGTGATTCCAGTCTTTACCTTTTATTCTTCAGAATACTGTTTTTTCTATAAACCTTTCCAACTCTTCCTCCTGTTTAGATAGTTCATTCTGTAACTGAAGACCATCATACATACATAGACGTAATGGACAATTGGATGGTAGAATTTGGTACTATTCAGATGAGAGGAAATGTCAGCTCTGGAAAAATGCCTAACATACCACCAGAACATTGTCTAACACAGTGCACAGTTAGTTTAAATATTATTTGGTTTCTAAGATTCAACAGAGCAGAAGTTGTTGTTAAACACAGAGTGTAATCTTACTGAAGTGAATGTAAGTCATAAATACAGCACTCATACACTAAGTAAAATGGAAACAAGAAACATGTAAGACTTAGTGGGCCAGCCAGAGACTTAGGGCCATCACAGGCCATCACAGGAATATCCCTGAAAAAAAGTACTATTCTCTTTATAGTCTGAAAAATAAAGCTAAAAACCAAACTTAAATATTCCTAGGCCTAGTATAGCACACATGTACTGGCCTCAGATAATGTGTATTAGGCATAGGAAGGTTAGGTTAGGCTCATTGCAGCATCAATACTAAAACTTGTATTGTCCAAATTCAATAGTACTAATTTCTACTTTCTAATTGCCTTTTACTTCAATATATGCACAATGGTCCTCATCGTTACTATAAATACTGCCTAAGCAGGAGGATGGGCTGACCTTTCATAGCAGGTGCCTTTTTTTAAATTTTGCAGGCCACCATGATGCAGGCTATCGAGAGGTACATGAAGCAGGCCATCGTTGATCGTGCACCCGGTGTTAGCAGCGCTGCTCTAGTATCTTGCCGGCATATCATGAAGGATTCACCAGATGTTGTCAAACGCTGGGTCTCTGAAGTGCAGGAAGCACTTAGCTCTGACTGGTATGTATATTTGTTTCTATCCTGAGTGCTTAGCTTTTACTTGATGAGGTGGCCTTCTTGGAAACTTTTAGCAGACACTTTACTGTCTTCCAGCAGTAATCTCTTATCACCTGAAGATTTGCTAAAGGTTTCCCCTTGAATATACAGTAATTAGATTCTAGGTACATCAGCATTATATATGAAGTTGACAATACTGTATTATCAAGACATGTATATAACACTATTTGTGAAGTTACAGTAAGTGGAGTGGAAGTTAATTTTTGTTCGGAACAGCAGCTTGTGTAAATATTGTGGGATGGGAATTGCAATGAGGAAGTATGGGTGGTATGCACCTGTACCTGGATTGTGCAGCACTAGTGATTTGAATATGATGAGCATTGTGATGGGATCCCATTATTTAAAGGTTCTCATAATCTATTCTATCAGTTATATTTGCTTGGTTGTGCTCCCTAAAACTTAAGTCGTCAGACATTATTCCCATATCCTTTAGAAGGTGCTTTTCTACTATGGGCAGATTTGATTTTGTACTCTGCACTTTGTTGAAGATCTTCATTTTTTACCATACCTAAGTAACTTGAATTTATCCAGCCTTAAGGTTTCTAAATGTCAAGAAAATTGTCAATTTAGTGTCCTCTCCTAACCTACCAGAGGACCCAAAACAGAAAATGGAACAATACGTCACTTTCACGAGCCGCTTCCATTTTCTAGTAGGATAATTTTTTTGACTTGTGTAAAGCATACGAGTGAAAAGCGACGTTGTTTGTAGGAGGACAGGTTGATTTATATGTTTGAAACATGTTGTTTTCTGTTGCCAAATCAAAAGCTTTAAGAACATTGGTTTATAGTTTTTCAATGTCTTATAAAGATCTTCATGCTGATTTGTCATCTGCAGAAGGTGACTTGAAACTGTGACTTGTGTTTTTGTCTATATTTGATAAGAGAATAAGGAAAAGCAGTGGTGCATGGACTGTCCTGAGGTAGAGAGATTTTCACTGTACTTGGACTAGACTATGATTAAGTGACTTAACTGTCACTCTGCATTTTGTTTGATAGAAAATTTAATATCCATTGCCCGGCTTTACCTGTTATTCCTAATGACCTCATTTTGTTGGCTATCACCCCATTGTCATATCTGCCTCCACAGTTTATACATCCTCACATAGTACTGTAATATTAGTCCTAGGGAGCCGGTCGGCCTAGCGGACAGCACGCTGGACTTGTGATCCTGTAGTCTTGGGTTCGATCCCAGGCGCCGGCAAGAAACATTGGGCAGAGTTTCTTTCGCCCTATGCCCCTGTTACCTAGCAGTAAATAGGTACCTGGGTGTTGGTCAGCTGTCACGGGGCTGCTTCCTGGGAGTGGAGGCCTGGTCGAGGACCGGGCCGCGGGGGCACTAAGCCCTGAAATCGCCTCAAAATCAAGAAGTCCTCAGTCGTGGAGAGAGCCCAGGAACAACTCTCATATTGGAGAAGCCTGGGCTACGTTGCCTCGTATCATGACGTTATCTACATTTGTGTGGACCATAACAAACTAATAAGCAGTTCTGGTGGGTATGGTAATGAAATTAAAACACACATGAAGCCACACATACGAGCAGACAATGCTAGCAGTCACGTGATGCATGACAGTGCCTTCAAATTCTACTCGTCTTGCTATGACTGGATACAAAACTGCTGTTATTACCATATTTCTGTCACAAAAGTCCGGCATATGAATATTTCAACAGGGTTATATTGTGAAGAAATGTGTGCTTGTTTCATGATGCATAGGTGCAGGAAACAATGGCTGGGTGCTCTCTCTACCTCATGTTGTGAATATCATAACTAACAGTGTTCACTGATATCTGAATGTTGTACATAGTCTTTTATTACAGTCATAATCATCCATGACTGCAAAATAATTAGTTACCTATTTTATTCATCATTACTAAGTGGTGCTGTGGCCCTCCCCCCCCAGCTGCACAGCGGTGCTGTGGCCCTACCCCCCCTAGCTGCACAGCGGTGCTGTGGCCCTACCCCCCCTAGCTGCACAGCGGTGCTGTGGCCCTACCCCCCCTAGCTGCACAGCGGTGCTGTGGCCCTACCCCCCCTAGCTGCACAGCGGTGCTGTGGCCCTACCCCCCCCTAGCTGCACAGCGGTGCTGTGGCCCTCCCCCCCTAGCTGCACAGCGGTGCTGTGAACTGCTCCTGCATGAGCCTTGGTCACTCTCTCAGTACTAAGGCTCTCACAACCTGTACGGATGCTGTTGATTTCTTTTCAAAATGGCAGCTGTTTACTGGATGTGAAACCCCCGTGTAGCCACGGGAGTTTTGAATTGCTCCCTATACCTGAAAATACCACGTGGCATTCTGTGCGCCCCTGATCAGGTGCCTTAAGCCACTCTGCGAAGTGCAGTGGTTAAGCTTGGTTTTTATTTTTCTGCACTATATAAAATTAAAAGTAAAAAATGTGACCTTTTCAATAGTCATTCACTACATGTTTATACTTTTGACCAAATAGTTACTATAAGTAATATTTCAGAAGGATGGGGTGGATAAATACATAAATTATATTCCAGTGTGATGGTTCAGTTTCATGCCCTCGGAGTGTTGCACCAGATCCGCAAGTCGGATAAACTTGCTGTTACGAAGATGGTGACAAAACTAACTTCTTCTGGTCTTCGTTCTCCTTATGCCATCTGCTTGCTGGTAAGTTTTATTGCAATATTTTAAATGTAGTAGTGTGAATTTGTAGAATTTAGTTGATACTGGTGAAGTTTTTCCTTGGTAAAGTTAAGTGAAAATTAATTTAAATTGGAATGCACAACACTAGATTCAAGCTAGAGGGATTAATATTTAGGAGGGATATAGAGAAGTGTACTGGCTTGGGAATAGTGTTGTGGATGGGCTACCAGATAGTTATTGTGGTGGTTTGAAAAGTTCCAAAAGTACATTTGTTAGGTTAATGGAGGAGGAGGTTGATTTAAATGAAGCCCACTTAGTTATGGGCCAGCAGGTCCACTATGGCACTCCTTGATTCAAGGAAGGCTTTGAATCTTATTTGTAGTAGTCTGCTTTATTTAATAATGAATAAATGGCTTTATTCTTTGCCCTTCACTTTGTAGGAGAAACTTTCATTGTTACAATCTTAGCCATGCCATTTGTACATTATTTATCAACTGGTTTTGTACGCATTTTGCATTCATCTTGGACATTGTAGGGTTAGTTTACCATCTTGCTACTCCATGACAAAACGATACAACACGTTCCCATAACACCCATCTACACCTCTAGTCCTCTAGAGCTTAGAAGGATGGACATATCTTTGCCTTGTAACCTGGGCTGTAGTGAGTCTACATAAAACCTTCGCCTCCGACTCTGACTTCTCAATCTATGGTACAGTACCTCTGTACCTCAATTTATGGTACCTTTGATTCCTCAATTTAGATATCATTATAGGAAATAATGTACTGATTATTTATTTCCTATTTTGATAGGAGATTTCATCACTGCCAGACTGAATCATCAGACTACTTTTTAAAGCCCTAACCTGTTAGTTTAGGTCTGTAGGCTATAGCTATGCCATTGGGGCTTTTTTCTTTTTTTTTTTTAAAGAAATTAATCATTTGGTAAACTTAATTTATAAACAAGAGATAAAACTTAGACAATTTAAACTTTGTGGTTATTTTTTTTATCGAAAGGCTATGAAGTCTGGGCCGTTTTAACAAGATTATATTATATAAGTGTGCTTGCAAGAAGACCTAGATATTTTAACATTCGCTTCCATAATGAACATGTCTTATGCTCGTGGGGACCCTAAGCTCATGGGGCCCCCAAGCAAGTGCCCATCGGACCCATGTGGTAAGACGGCTCGATACAAATTAACAGGACATTAAAAAAGTAAAAATTTACAAAATTATTCCTAAAATTGAAAAAAAAGTTAGTATCTAGCATACAGAATAGAATAGAGGTTGGAGTCAGCTGGTTCATTTTGGAGACTTGAGCTCCAGTAGCCCAAGAATTGGTTCAGATTCCACAGCCCTGCTTGTAACTGCTACAATGAAGAGCTTGAAATATGTAACTGTTGAGCTACATTAACCCTTACATGGATCCATGTTATATCATGCTCCCTAGCAAGGTTTGTGGAGTTGAACTTTCCCTCATAACTCGGTGAACCTCCTGTCTTCAAATATGCAAGTTCAAAATGTCTAAGGTTGAGTGAAAGTCTTAAGTAAAACCCACCAGTTTACTGGGGTGAACTTATCTACATAGCACAGCCTATTTACACAATATTTACATAACCACAACAAAAGATAGTGAATCACATAAGTTAACACAAGGCACAAGTCACAGCAGCTAGATATCACTAAACAAAGATAACCTAATAACATGGGTACACTAGACAGCATGGACTGGCTGCTAAGTTGTAGACAATGTGGGTGGTGACGTTATATAACCTGAGTGGGGAAGGGGAGGGGTAATGTCTTGGCATGAACATCAATACGTCAGTGAACTATCACTTTGCCTTCAGAAAAAACGAAGTCCCAACTGGACTTAGTTTGAATGGCAAAAGTTGAAAAACTCTTCTCAAAAATCAGTCCATAATGAATGAAAATCTGGCAGTCGGGAATCTTCTTTTAACAGTTAAAATTGACACGACATGAAATTTGACTAAGTCCTGGATCTCCTCTCCAGAGTTAGTCCACACAGGCATGAAAATGAGTCCACAAATGGATATAACAATGTCACTTCACCACAGGAATTATAATTTGAAAATGTAGTAATAACACTTATCAACTCTGATCCACACAATAATCCCCTTCTTGCCTTACTAGTAAGAAAACAATAGATATACTGTACGGTATACAAACTGACCGGGGAGCCGGTCGGCCGAGCGGACAGCATACTGTACTTGTGATCCTGTGGTCATGGGTTCGATCCCAGGTGCCGGCGAGAAACAACAGGCAGAGTTTTTCACCCTATGCCCCTTTACCTAGCAGTAAAATAGGTACCTGGGTGTTAGTCAGCTGTCACAGGCTGCTTCCTGGGGGTGGAGGCCTGGTCAAGGACCGGGCCGCGGGGACACTAAAAAGCCCCGAAATCATCTCAAGATAATCTCAAGATAATAAAGATAAATATCTCTACTAAAATATTACTCGGAAAGCACACACTGTGTGTGTAACCCCCTACTAAACCTAACAGACCAGTGAGATTGCTCCTGGCAGTTCATCACAGGTCAACTAACAATACCAATTTTGTACATTAATATAACCCCACCCCACACTTGGGTAACAAAGAAAACAAAATACAGCACTTAAATACATTATAATACTTGGGGAACATACACAGATGTTCAAATGCACAAAATAAACACACATTTTATATATGGATGTGTTCGTATGTATACATGCATCACAAACTAATAACCAGCTCACAGGTTGGCTGTTCTGTCGGGAGACACTGGCAAGGGGAGGTGGTAGTGTCAGCGGTCGGCTGCACAACAGTCCAAACGAGCAGTTACACTCGCTCAACAATATGATGAAATATAACATAATAATACAATACACTTGTATATAATGACATTTGAATATAGGTATGCATAAATTTAAATACTGCTGTAGGGGAAAAATATAGTAAGAGGTACATTTACAATTAAGACATGACCTCAACGTATCTTTCTGAACTGATTAGGCTGGTGTCATACTCTCCAATTGCCATATACAGTATGATTTTTTTCATTTGATTTGTAACAAAAAATTATGTACATTAAAAATTTAAATAGCAGTCATTTAATAGTTTAAGGAGGTGTACAGCATGTCCAACTATATTTAACCTTGGTCATAACTGTTGCTATTAACCACTGCACCAAGTTTATTGTGAAATTCCCCCGATGCGCATGAAAGTGTCCCCTCCCCCCCCTCCCCCCCAATTTTTTTTTTTTTCGTAAAATGATAAATTCTCTTCCCTGAACATGTCTATGTAGAAATAAATACCAAATTCCACTTACTTTCGCTGTGGGGATGTGGACAAGTTGCACTGTGACGTCATCAGGGCCTGGTCGCCCGTGCGTGAATCGCCCAGACATGGTTGCGCAGGCCATTCAAGCACCGGGTGTTGCCACAAATATATTTTCAATTAATTGTTTTATGTATTTCCAATGCCGTTTTTTTTTTTTTTTTTATCGTATATGATGCATATTTGTGTCCTTTACAATATGTATACAGTAGAACGTTCATAATGTTCCATGGAACTGTGATACATGTCAGTAATGTGTCCACAATAAATGTTTATTGTCGCAATATTACCTGTTAAAAAGTCACTAAAATTACAATATGTACAATTTCACACACTATTTACACAGTAATACACTGTATTACACACTCAGTACTTCGGAAGCGAGTAATAATCAACGAAGTAGTCCATGGTACACAGCGCGACTTCGCTCTCCGTGCACCAGGTACAGATAAATTTTCGCTCCGTTTCTTCATTCTGTGTGCTTGCAAATAACGCACTCACATACAGCCTTGGCTTTTGTACTTGTAGGTTGTATGTAGCCAAGCTTGTAAAGCATAAGGTAGTATTGAAAAGATTATAGGAAAAGATTAATTTGTAAGGTAGTCTTGAAAACATCGCTTTGTATGGTCTCGCACAGGAAGAGATTCAGCTTGCCTCAAAGAGTGTCCGTCAGTCAGGAAGAGATTCAGGTATTGAAAATATCTATGGAAAACACCACCATGGAAGCCGCTAACACTGTTCATCTATGCTAATTGTATCAGATGCATCATCACTGAACGCAGAAAGTGAATTCATCGATGTATCATCTAAATAAATTGGAGATAGCATAGGATTGCAAGGGTGACGCTCGGAGCTACAACTGGATACGCTCGCTGTATCGTCCTCATAGGTGCTGTATCACTTGCATCCTACCTTTGTGTTAGGTCCTTATTGCCCCTAAGTTCACCAATATTATGACCCTTATGTTCTTCAAACAATAAGGTTTGAATTTCACTAACAGAGCGTTATCTTTCAACACCGCATCGGACAGGTGTTTGGGAGCCACAGGTGCGTGCGCCACCCATGGTTGCTCATTCAGTACTAACCCAGCCAGTAGCCCTAGGGCATTCTGGGAATTTTTTCCAAGATGGCTGCCTCTCACTGGAGGTCCTAAAAGTCCATTTCATACACAACCAACCTCGTACACATTTAGAATTGGTACCGAAAAATCAAAGTTTTCTCGGTTGGCGCAGTTTCCCGCCGACCGAGAATACTTAGTTGGCGCAGTTAAGTGGTTAAACGTAAGTAGAGGTCACTGTTTGGTGGTAAGCAACTGTCCTTTGTTGTTAGCTGCTTCTGAATCCTGTTCTGATGTAATCATTATGTAGTGTGAATCTGAAGCTTTTATTGTTTGAGGCTTAGGAGTAATAATTTGTACAGTACTGTGCTTTATATCCTAACTTCTTTCAGATTCGTATTGTAGCTCGTCTTATCGAGGAAGACGAGGTTGGAGCAGATTCGCGGTTGTTTGACTTTCTGGAGTCCATGTTGAGGCATAAAGCAGAGATGGTAATATATGAAGCGGCCAATGCCATTGTTACTCTCAGAAAATCCTCGGCACGGGACTTGGCTCCTGCTATCTCCGTTCTGCAGCTCTTTTTGTCCAGTCCTAAACCTACTCTCAGGTAAATACACCACCCCTTTTGAAGTTAGAAAACATTGAAATTAATTTAAGTGTATTAAAATATAAATCTTTAGGTGTATTGAACTAAATTAAATTTAATATAAATTTATTAAACATTTTGCCAATTACAGTATACGTCCGAACAAATTTTTCTCAATTTTATTCTCATATTCTTTCGTCTTCCTTCGTTTTTATTTTTCGCTACATAAAAATGCTCAGAATTTTTATAATGCAGTATTCTTAGACGTGCATAAATTTTGTTTGAATGCATTTGATTGTAATTGACCTGTATGACTTGGTTCCCCACATTTTATTAGTGATTTCAAGGGGGGGAGGGAAATAGATAAAACAAAAGAAGTGCGTGCTTGAAGAAAATTATGAACCCTGAGGTAATAGAGGCAAATTATTGTTACAGCTGGGTTAATACCCCCTAGGGTCTTTAGTCTGACTGCCACCAGATGGTGACCCAGGTCATTAAGTGGCCCAACCAGGGGCCAGATTCATGAAACAGTTACGCAAGCACATGCGAACTCCTGCTCACCATAAGCACATTCATATCTGCAGCACTGGTCCTAGATTATCCTTTCACACATTTCACTGCCTCTGGTTCTTACAGGCTGTCACATAAGTCACAAAATGTCAGTCAAGCATTCACCATAAAGACCAGTCACAGGGAGTCATAACCAAAGTCAGTCAAGCATTCACAGTTGTGGTTAAGCATTTATGGTCAGTCATGCATTCACAGTCAATCAGGCATTCAATCAGTAACTCAATCAGGCTTTCATAGTTGCAACCAATCGGTTAGTAAGCAATAAGAGTTTAACCCTCAAACCGCGCATATCATATATAAATGATATCAGTGACAAAACCGAAACCGCGCACATCATTTATATATGATTTCGTGTCTAGCGCTATAATTTAAACGCCCCGCCTGGGATAGGGGCAGCTATAGTACAGCCACGACCAATAGTTGCCACCTAGAAAAAAAATCCAGGCCAACATTCTTAAGTGTTACAGCGTCAGTATTGAGCAAGCCACCAAGGCTGGCGCACGCAGCACGAGCTCACAGCACCACTGTTCAGCTTGTGACCACAGCATCGCCTACAAATACCATAATATAAATGATACTGCTATTATTTAGCAGTGATAGTATTACTGAAGCCCCCTGACTGTGATAAAACTGACCAGGATACTGATAATAGCAGGATTGTGGTGATATTTAGCGCTGTGCTCCATGGAGGGAGGAGTAAGGCTGTGGAGGGAGGGTTGTGGCGTCATCTTCTGACTGTGTGTGGCCACCATTTATTGACTGCACTCACCATACTGTGTGTGGCCACCATTTATTGACTGCACTCACCATACCAGCTTTGTGGTTTGCTATGGTGAACACAAATGTAGATACTTATATATAACGTGTGTATAGAGTGATAACAGCGAGAGTAGGAGGTTGGGAACCGCCATTTTGGTGAGGGAGGAGCGTCGTCTGCACGACTTGGCATGGTGTTTACTGGTGGCCACTATGGTCTTTGGGCACCATACCATCTTATTTGTTCAGGTATGGTGAATAAAACAGGTAGATACTTATATATAATGTGTGTATATAGCGTAATAACACCACAAACAATATTGTTGGAGGACAAATATTAGTGCGTCTGGCCTTGAGGGCGGCCGCCGATCAGCTGACTGTGTGAGTAGCTACGTCTTATGGCCTTCACTCACCATACAAGCTTAGATGTACAGTTATGGTGAACAAAACATGTAAATACGTATATATAACGTCTGTGTATAGTGAATAAATACAGAAAGAGTATTGTGGGAGGTGAATGAGGGTGAGTGAGGTGGTGTTGAGGGAGGGAGTGGCAGTGAGTGGCTCGCTGGTGTTTGGCGATCACTCCTCGTTGCTTTTTGACTCACAAGACCAACTTAGTAGTTCGTTATGGTGTACAAAACATGCAAATACTTATATATAACCTGTGTATATAGTGTAACAACAGCAAAACTATTTGTTTATTGCTTTATGAACATAATAATTGAATCACTAATATGCACACCATAATTTTGAGTACAGCGATGGTTCACACATTTTATAATATAAATGTACCACAATTCACTGTATGGAATAATATTACTGCAAAAAAATTAAGAAAAAATCAGAGACATTGAAATAATTAGGTAATAATATATTTGTGGCAACTGCCGTCTGACAGCTCGGGCGGAGCAGACCTCGTCTGGCGAAGGCTCCGCCAACGCCCCTTTTTTGCCACACTTCCCTACCCTATTTCGGCTAAAATATGCCACCTACGATTTTTTTGTTATTTTTTCCGTGACCAGGGAACAAAAATGAACACTTCTATAAGACGAAAGAATTTTTTGGATTTTTTTTTTTGTTGCGCCAGGGGGTGTGAATTCCATTTGGGCCCCTAGCGGTTTGAGGGTTAATGTCATTCACTCAGTCTGCCTCCCGATCCATCAACTAGTAGCAAAGAAGCCCACCATATTAATACCGTCTGGGGACCAGTGTGGGGGGATGAGGAGATGGATGTAGCAAGGAGGGTGCGTGACGGGGGGGATGGAGGTAGCAAGGAGGGTACAGGATGGGGGGAATGGACATAGCGGGGAGGGTGCAGGATATGGGTGGGAATGGAGGTAGCGAGGAGAATGCAGGATAGGGGGGGATGGAGGTAGCGATTAGGGTGCAGGATTGCGGGGGGGGGGGGGGGGGTGGATGGAGGTAGCGAGGAGGGTGCAGGAATGGGGGGGATGGAGGTAGCGAGGAGGGTGCAGGAATGGGGGGAATGGAGGTAGCGAGGAGGGTGCAGGAATGGGGGGGATGGAGGTAGAGGGAAGGGTCTGGTGTGCGAGAAGGGGCAGCGGGGTCATTGAGAGGGTCCGGGGGTGACCAGCTCTTGCAATAGTCCTAGTCGGAAGCTCGCCAACTTACACCACTACCTGCCTGCCCACTGCTACCCACCAACCCACTCTGACCAACAGTCCTGCTACTCATCTGCCCATCTACTCTCTCCTGACTGCCCTGCTACCCACCCGCTCTGTGCCCGCCATGCCACCCACATCCTTAGCTATCTTCTGCGACACACTTGTTCTGCTGCCTGCACACCCAGTCTGCCAACTATCTCACTACTGCCTGCCTGCACACAGACACCTTCCCACCCGCCTGCCATTGAAGCAAAACGTCTAAATGGAAATAGAAATGAAGAAGACAAATTCTTTTTTCTACAAAGTGTCAGGGACTGGAAAGCTAATGAAATGGTACATAAAAACAAGGCAACAAAATCATTAGTGGAAGGGGAAGTAAAGAGCAAAGGGAAAGCGAACATGTTCCTGGAAATTGTATACACCAACATAGATGGAGTTAGATCAAAAACATTACAGTTGCAAGATATAATTCAGCGTAAGGTCCCAGATATTGTCGCATTATCAGACAAAACTTGAAGGAAATATTTTAAATGAAGTCTTATTCCCAAGGGGCTACTCAGTTTGGAGATATGACAGGACAACTGGGAAGGGAGGGAAAGAGTGGCTGTGCTGGTGAAAGAACACCTGAAGGTAAGAGAGTTAATACTTAAAAATCCTCAAAGTTGACATAATGGCATTGCAGGTCTGGAATCAGGATGATAAACTGATAATTGTAAATGCCTACAGCCCACCAGCAAGCAACACATAGACAAAGGAAGAACTGGATGACAAATCAAAGGGTGTCTTAGTGATCATGAGAGAAATTATAGTACAAGCAGATATATAAATCACGACTGTTGATACTGAGGGACTTAAACTTTAAAGTAATAGACTGGGAGGCCTATGACGCAAGAACGGGGGACTTTTGGACATGCAGATTTGTAAACTTCATTCTGAAGACATTCTTATATCAACACGTCAAGCAGGCCACAAGAATGAGGGAAGGGGATGTACTGTCAGTACTTGATCTAGTATTCACCAGGAAAGAAAAGATATTTGACATCCAGTACCTTTCTCCCTTGGGAAAGTGTGATTGTCATGTTAGATATTAAATGTACATTTAAGATGCAGGCGATGAGTCACAATAACGTGGCTGAAGTATGTTGACCAGACCACACACTAGAAGGTGAAGGGAGGACGACGTATCTGTCCGTCCTGGACCATTCTCAAGTCAATTGTGCACCACTTGGCAAATGGAATTTAATGTAAATAAATGCCATGTTATGGAATGTGGAATAGAGCAGACCCCACACAACCTATAAATTATGTGAGAAATCTTTAAAGAAGTCTGATAAAGGAGATCTAGGGGTGGTTCTAGATAGAAAACTATCACCTGAGGATCGCATTAAGAACATTGTGTGAGGGGGGAGGGCCTATGCTACACTTTCTAACTTTAGAATTGCTTTTAAATACATGGATGGCAAAATATTAAAGAAATTGTTTAAGACTTTTGTTAGACCAAAGCTGGAATATGCACCAGTTGTATGGTGCCCATATCTAAAGAAGCACATCAACAAACTGGAAAAGGTGCAAAGACATGCTTCTAAGTGGCTCCCAGAACTGAAGGACAAGAGCTACGAGGAGAGGTTAGAGGCATTAAATATGCCAAAACTAGAAGACAGAAGGAAAATAGGTGATATGATCACTATGTACAAAATAGTAACAGGAATTTATAAAATTGATAGGTAAGTTTTCCTGAGACCTGGAACTTCAAGAACAAGAGGTCGTAGATTTAAATTAACTAAACACAGATGCCGAAGAAATATAAGAAAATTCACTTTAACAAACAGAGTGGGAGACGGTTGGAACAAGTTAGGTGAGAAGGTGGTGGAGGCCAAGACCGTCAGTAGTTTCAAAGCATTATATGACAGAGTGCTGGGAAGACGGGACACCACGAGTGTGGCTCTCATCCTGTAACTAAACTTAGGTAATTACACTTTGGTAATTACCCACTTGCCCTCCATGTGTGTTTTCCTTATATGACTCTAGGGCTGGTGTTTCGGGAAGATTTTCTTTCCCGCCCCCCCC